GTTCCATTATTTTTGGTCCAGTTGTTGCGGAGTTGCATCGCATTGGGGGGAAAAGATCTGCCATTGAGCCTCTGTTTTTAATTTAAGGGAAAAAACAAATTATTTCATTCTACACTATAAAACACCATCACTGGGAAATAACAGCTTCTTTTGCCTACAGTTAGAAACTTAAACTCATTTCAAAAACATTTAGTTGTCAAAAAACAAAACTGGCAACAGCCATTTTATGAGGTATGGATGCTTGAAAAATGGAATTGCCGTTGCCTTACCCAAGATCCTCTGGAAAAAAGGACAGTTAAACTAGATTCAAACTGGTTTGTGTTGTACTCGTGACCCATATTACTACTGAAACAGCATTCTTAATACCAGAACAGTCATAGATTATGACCCCAATATAGCTTAATTTGCCTATAAGTGAATTGTTGTATCATCCACAATTCAAAACTTAACTGATGTATCTCAGTTAACAACCAAATCAGAATACTTAGTAATTCCCTCAGTACATTGAAATTCCCTCCCTAAGAGCCAGTTTGGTATAGTGGTTAAGAGTAGTGGACTCTTAATTTGGAAAACAGGGTTCGATTCCCCACTTCCAGAGCCTGTTTAGTGTAGTGGTTAAGAGTGCAGACTCTAATCGGGGAGAACTGGGTTTGATTCCCCACTCCTCCACATGCAGCTGCTGGTGTGACCTTGGGTCAGTCATAAGTTCTTTCAGAGCTGTTCTCTCAAGGGCAGTTCTCAAGAGAGCTCTCTCAATCCCACCTACCTCACAGGGTGTCTATTGTGGGGAGGGGAGGGGAAAGGGATTGTAAACTGCTCAGAGACTCCTTCGGTTAGTGAAGGGCGGGGTATAAATCTGATTTCTTCTCTTCCAGCTAGCTGAGTGACCTTAGGCAAATCACAGCACTCTCCGCCTAAAAATAAGCACAGCTCGCCACCTAGTGCTGCCAAAAAAAGAGCTACAGCTTTGGCAGCCAAACAATCCCTCCAGGGATCTGGCTATTCCACACAATTCCATGCGCTAATTTTAATTTTATTTCCCTCCCTAACCTGCTGCACAATACACTACTAGTCAGGCCTACTAAAGTTAACACCCCATCAGAGGATAAGGAGGATGTAAGCAGAGTCACTCTCACAGCCGAGGATAAGGAGGATGTCTACGTTCTCACTCTCACAGCCCCTCCCTCGCCTGCCCTGCACAACACCTTATGGGTCAGGATGCAACTGCAAGGTAGGCTGATATACAGACTCCCTTCTGTTTCTACAGTGTGACATATTGGCAACAGCCAATGCCACTGGTAACAGGATACTGATAAGGCAACTTGTCGGCAACATTCCACCAGCCTATTCCCCATCAAAAATAACGAATGTCACACATGGCATACTAAGGAAATTAGATTAGTAAAACCCATTCCATTCACTAAGAAATCAGTCATCTATTTTGGATGTGGATGT